TATATAGATGACAATATCAGGGCCTTTTGCCCATTCCAATCCATGCTTATGACATCATTTTATGAATCAGATGAAATCAAAGTGAGGTGAGATGGACAAATTCAGAAAAGACAGAATTCACTAGTGTTTTTGAGTATTGGCATGGCAATTTGCCTTTTGTAGGATGAAAATAGTAATTGCTCATTTTTAAAAATCACAGAGGTTATGCATCTCCCCAGAGCCTAGAAAATATTCCATACTTCTTAACTCCCAAGTCTTGTTTCGGCCGCACAGCTTTCTCACTGCTCCTGTTGCATTCAGGGTCGTCTTGGCGACTTCATCTGAAAACATTATATGTTATTAACATACAGGGTTTCGGGGTGGAGGTGGAAGAAGAGGAAGGTGTTAATTCAGATGTTATGAAACTGTAATAATGCTATTATTTAAGACACTTATTTGGGTATGTTTATACTTTGTAGTTTTATAAATAAGCCCAAGGGGCTCCTCCTGGTTGTCACAATCCTCCTTGAATCTCGTATCCTGTCTGTCTCTTCCTATCCGACAGTAGAATTGATGTCGCTCTAATCCCTGGAAGTTTGGAACTAATGAACTGACTGCTGAGCTGCTGCCACGGAGCTTGGTCCCAAACTATACTGTACTTCACACTCGATTTATTCTCCAGATGGCGAGACTGTGCCGCCCCGCCGCGAGGGACCACCTCTTCCACTGGAGTGTAAAAGTGGACGGATGTTGTTTTCTTTGCAGATTTGATCATTCTGGGCTAGAAACTTGCAAGGCTGATTAGTTATTAGCTTTAATGGGTGCCAATTGAACCAACGGCACGCATATTTTCTCCTTTAATTTCAGAGTCTGCAGGTCTCGGTGATGGTTGATTTATCCGCTTTCTTACGTCAGCAGAGCATGTCTCTTCCCCAGGTGATAAGAATCCGGTCTCTGAAATCATAGCACGCCTTGGTTCCTGGCCCAGAGTCACATAATACGGTGGCTTATGTATAAGGACAAGTTTATTAGCCACCGGTCCACTGCACTGAGCAGCCCATGGCACGAAGTATCAGTTGAATGTGGGAACTTTGGTAATACCACCTTTTAGGACCAGGGCCTGTGAAGAGTCTGACCTGTGCCAACTTTCTTTGTGGCCTTTGCAGAGCCCACCTCTGGAATCAAACATGCTACAAACACACAAAGGTAATTAGTCTCTGCAAAAATCTCATGTAACTGTTGAGGAAGGCCTTACATTCATTATTCCCTCTTTTCAGGTTGTCAGATTTTAGGAGGACAAGTTCATCCTACACTGAGAAATGCTTACCAAGGCTGTCCTGCAGTGTTAACACATTTAGAGTGCAGTTCCTTCTAAACTCCATTTTGAACAACCTGTTTTGCTTCCAGAATGTAAGACCACCCCACCCCCCAAAAACAGTTGTTTTTGAGTGGCCTCTTTTTGCCTTCATTTCCTTTTCCTTCTTTCTCCAGGGAGCATTTACCTCCCAATAATCTCAGCAGATCACCTGGATAGCCCTTCTGAGAAGGTGGTGTCTGCCAGGCCGAGTCTTACTAATCCCCCTAATGAGATGGCACTTGGAAGGATGGTCAGGGCCAAACAAGAGCCAAAGAAAAAGAGAATGAAAGTGTGAAGGGAGCGAGGTGATGGAGATGAGAGAGATGTAAGAGACACGGTAGCAAGACGTAAGGCCTGTGATAGAGAGAGAACAGCATGAACAGAATTTCTTTCTTTTCACAACTGGTGGACTGTGGCTCTCTCTAGCTGAAGACCCAGAACTAAATTTAATTGTTCTTAGAAACTGCCTTCCTCTCACCCAACAGATGGCATGGGTGTGTTTGCTAGCATAGTAACATATTTCACCATTAAAATACCAAAAAGAAAAAAAAATCAACATGCTTGTTGGTTGGTGTAAATTCAGTGAAGTTGTTGGATATTTTGGGATACACAGCAGAGGGATGCACACTTCACTTATGTAAATTGTCACAAGCAACAGCCTGTTAATAAGGGTGTTGTATGGCAATATAACTCCAAAGCCATCATCTTTTTTTGGAAAGGTACAGAATGATGAAGTGGAAAGAGCTTGGTTTTAATTCTGAGCCAGAAAGAGGAAAAAAAGTCTAATAAAATGCTGAGTATTCACTGCTCATTATTACAGCATGAAAAGTACTAATCAGATTATGCCTAAAATTGGAATGGGGTACTTCATTTGCAGCCAATTTCACAAGGGCTGAATTTTACTAAGTAAACCGGAATGTGCTGAAACCATGGCAATCTGACTTTAGATAAAAATCACAAACAGGTTTAGAACATGAGCTTTGAACAAACAGTCCCCTTCGAATCCAAGTGACACAACTAAACAGCTTAGAGGTCAGATTTTGTTTGACACCAACATGAACAATTTAGGAAGCTGATGTTGCCAGGGATCCTGCGTCCTTGAGCGCACATGCAGATTAAACTAGAGGATGGAGGTGATGATTCAAATAACTCAAGTTTTTTGGGGTTTTTTTAATAAATTTATTTACTTATTTAATTATTCTTGGCTGTGTTGGGTCTTCGTTGCTGTGCGCGGGCTTTCTCTAGTTCCGGCGAGCAGGGGCTACTCTTTGTTGCAGTGCGCAGGCTTCCCATTGCGGTGACTTCTCTTGCTGTGGAGCTTGGGCTCTAGGCACGCGGGCTCAGTAGTTGTGGTTCGCAGACTTAGTTGCTCCACGGCATGTGGGATCTTCCCGGACCAGGGCTCGACCCCGTGTCCGCTGCATTGACAGGAGGATTCTTAACCACTGCGCCACCAGGAAAGTCCCTCAAATAACTCAAGTTTTAAAATGCACTTCAGCCCAAATGATCTAGTTAGTTCCCTTCCATTTCCCATACACTTTGTCCCAGCAGACCCTTTACAAGCCCGACCTGCCCTTGAAAGGAAACCTGGAAGTTGAAACTTTTCTGAGCTGAAGCCATCCCGGGTTTGTAGCTGTGCCAGGCTGCATGGAGCATAGCACATCTTGGGTTCTTTGAGGCTATGGATCTAGATACACACAGGAAGCATTTCTCTCGACAGCTGTTGATGGCCTTGGAAACATACTACTGAGTTGATGAGTTGACTTCTGACCTTCACCTTCAGGATCTTCCTATCCTGTGGCTGCAGCGAGAGGGCATGACAGAGCAAGTGGATGCATTTTATTGCTGTGGGACAGCCCACAGCAAGGTGTGGAACCAAGCCACTGTTGGCTGCATCCTTCCTCACTTTAGCTGGCATGAGCTCTCTCTTGCTTTTGTCTAAGCTTGGCATAATTATTGGCAGTCAGAGCTCAGTAAATCAGGACTCCACAGAGCTGTCTCAGACTGCTCCTATGTACTCTGCGTCCATCCGACTTGACAACTCTAACCTGGTTTCCTCACACTGCTTAACTCAGACCCCATTTGGAGGCCTTCCCTGCTTCTACCCAGTCATAGACCTACATCCGCCTGGTTTAAATCTACTGTCTTGGCTTGTCTCCTTGATTGGACTTCAACTCAATATTGGCTCAAATAATTATTTTTTCTCTCTGCTTTGGTTTATTATTTTCCTAGATAACAACTGCTATCCAAATGGCCATATATTGTTAAGACCTTTTTTTTCAAACTACATTCATCAACAGTGAGAAGCTTTAAAGTTTTATTAGTATCATAAAAACCCTTCCCAAATGAAACTACTTTTGATAAGTGTTCATTCTGACCATGAGAATTTGTTGAGGGCTGTTGGCAAGTTGGAGGAATTTGGTTTTGAAACTGAAATTGGCAGGAAGTAATGACCTCAAGGGCTTTCTTTCCCTTGATTCCTGCCCCCACGCCCCAAGTGCACTCCTCTCTCCCCAACCCCTGTCCCCGCTTCATCACCCCAACGCAAAGCCAATAAATAACATGTTTGGTTTTATATAGTTTTTCTGGGGACAATTCAAATACTGAATCAGACTTTCAACCTTTCAGCTTTTCTTAACTGTGGAGCAAAGCCTGCCAAATCAAAGAAAAAAATGTATTTGTCCACCACTTCATGAAGGGATTTCTTGGTGATATTATTGCCTTCCATCTGAATAAGCTAGAGCTTTTTTGTAGTGTGAAGTGTCATTTTCCTGTGAGTGCCTTCTTAATTGAATGTTAAGATTCAACTCAGTTGCAAAAAAATTTTTAAGTGAATAAAAAAAGCATGACGCATGTGGAAAGAGAAAAACAAATCCTTATTTTTTTCCCTAATGTGAATATGCTGGCAGTCAAGACTACCATTAATCCATAAATTATCTAGTTTCTTGTATTTATTCAATGAGAAAATGCAGGTAGAGCACTTAGTACCATGCCTGGTGCTTAGTAAATGCTCAATAAATGTTACCTATTAGTTATTTTACCTTTCCAATGGGAAAGTAATGCTAATGCGCAAAATGAGCACACTATTTATTTATTTATAAATTTATTAATTTATTTTTGGCTGCGTTAGGTCTTCGTGGCTGCACACAGGCTTTCTCTAGTTGTGGCGAGCGGGGGCTACTCTTCGTTGCAGTGCACAGGCTTCTCTTGTTGCGGAGCACAGGCTCTAGGCGCACAGGCTTCAGTAGTTGTGGCTCACAGGCTCTAGAGTGCAGGCTCAGTAGTTGTGGCACACGGGCTTAGTGGCTCCGCGGCATGTGGGATCTTCCCGGACCAGGGATCAAACCCATGTCCCCTGCAGTGGCAGGCAGATTCTTAACCAGTGTGTTACCAGGGAAGTCCTGAGACCACTATTTAGAGTTTCACCAACGTGCATTACAATGGCTTTCATCTCTGCTATAGTCATCTCGAGTGAAGTCTGGAAATCAGTCACTTGCCCATCGGACTGGACAATTCATTTCAAATACCAGTTATTTGGTGGACATAGTAGACATCGTAATGGTGCTCAGACTCTCCATCCACATAAGAGTTTCACAGACAGTTTGATTGTGTTTCTTCTCAATGATAAATAAACTTAGGAGTTACATTTTATCTACACTCATAGGATGAAGCTCGATTGAGAATAGTAAAAACTCTTGAAGACTTTGATCTGGGCCCAACTGAAAAGTGTGTAAGAATCAACTCAGTGTCCAGTGGTCTGGCCGAAGAAGACCTGCAGGCCCTCCTGCGGTCCCGGGTCCTTCCTTCCAGCCTGATGCTCCCGAAGGTAGAAGATCCTGAAGAAATCCAGTGGGTGAGTAGCTCATGCTTTGCTTTAATTAAAGACTCAGGAGAGGCTAACAAGGAGTAGCAGAAAGGAAGGATTTGGGTGCTGCAGGTTTTGAAAATGCATACACAGAGCCGAGAGAAAGGGAACTGAGAAAAAGGAGCAGGTCCCAAAGACCATTTCCTGCACACAAGGAGAACCTGGCTTTGCCTAAGTGTTCACTGGAACAGCTCTGCACTTGAAATGATGCTTCTGCTGCCTTAACAGATCTGTGGTTTAGACAGAACAGCCTCCTCCAGAGCAGCCCCTGGAAACCAGCTTACCTGAGACTACACCTGGCCAGGCCCTAACCCTCCACCTGGAAGAGCAGTGATTTGCATACCTCTTAGGCAGATTCATTTGAAGTCATCAGAGACAGTGAAAGCACATTAGCTGCAAAGGAAAAAATGAACCTAGAGGAGGAGAGGAAAAGGTCACTCCTTGGGGCAACTATAGGAAAAGACAGGAAGCTTTTAACTAGTGGTTTTAATTAGCACAGATATTATTTCCTGAACAGTTTTCTAGTTCATCCTTTTTAAATTGCTGACAGGTGTGTTTGTTTCATGACAGACTTTTCAGCCAATAAACCCTTGGCATGTCAAATTACTTAAGAAAACTTTGAAATGGGCCTAATTATACTATGATTGTTTTAATTGTTAAAGTGGGGTGGAGGTTGGAGGGTGAGGCTAGGTTTTATTTAGGGGCTGCAGTGATTCTGCAGATCTCTGCCGAATACAGTACGGTTCCACTGTGCCACTCCTGAGAGGAGGGCCCGTGGCACCCAGGCGCTGGAGGCATGGTAAGGGCGTGTGGACAGTGGTGATTTTGATGCCACATCTAGGGTGATCCCTAAGTCTATGGCTACAACTGTAGCAATACGCCGAGTTCTAGTTGTGGCACCCAAATACATTGCTCACCTTTTCCGTGTATGTAGCTATGTTGGCTCTGTGCTTTCCAGTGCCATGGCTGCCTGCCACATGTGGCTAGGGAGCACTTGAAATGTGGCCAGTCCAAATTGAGATGCGCTGTAAGATACACGGGACTTTGAAGACTTCATAGCACCCTCCCCCGAAAAAAGAATGCAAATTATCTCAATAATTTTTATGTTGGTTACATGTTGAAATGATAATATTTCAGATATATTGGGTTGAATAAACCTCTTATTAAAATTAAATTCACCATCTGTTTCATCTTACTCTTTTAATGTAGCTACTAGAAAATTTAGAATTACACATGTAGCTACCATTATTTTTCTGTCCATCAGCTCTGCATTGGTGTCTTCCTGAAGACCTTCGTTCAAGGTCCCATATTTACTTTCAAAACTGGAGCTCTTCTCAGCAAGGTCACCCCTCAGGAGCTGGGAGATCCTAGTGATAGCAGGTTAATGTTCTCAAGAGTTCCTGCCCCATTTGAATGTGTCTTAAGTTGATTGAAATGGAATCTGAAGTCACTGTTCCCTTTTGGTTTCATAGTTAGTGCCTGTTTATCACCGTTATTACCCCTCATTTGAGAGGGGAGTGCTCACCCCGGCCTTCAGCTAAGGCCTCTGTTCGCTGTTTTAAATCCTTGGATGTGAGGAACATACCGAAATCTAAATAGGATTTCTAGTTAACAGAAGTCTTTTGGGCTGTTTATTTTTTCCTCTCCGTTTGTATTTATGTGAAGCATAAAACCCAGAGCCTGATGCACAACTGAAAGATGGGCTTCCTTGTTTTCTTTTGTGTGAGAATCTCTTGCTGGCCTTTTGTCGCTAGTGTGGGTTCTTGTTTGACTGGCACGGCTTATTGGACTATAACAAGCGTGACTCGGCCTCCTTTGTCGTGGGACAATTCTCCCACAAATCCCGAACAGGGTGCATTCTTCCAACACACTATTGGGTGTGCACTGGAATTGAAAGAATTGCTGAGCCCTGCTACTTCATCTCCTCCCCAATCTCTTTGTGATTTTCCCCCTTCTTTTCCTCCCCCCACGCCCCCAGTCCCCTCCACCTCCCTGAAATGAACACTTTACCAGGCCGGAAACATTTAATCGTCTCCTTTTGAAAAAATTAATTGAAACTTCTCCACTAGTTACCTTTTGTGTTAGTACTTAATGCAATTTTTTAAGAAAGAAGGGGAGGAGGAGGAGGAGGATGGGCTAGAATGTTTAATTTTTAAATATGCCCCTATTGCCTTAAAAACAAAAGGCGTTAGAGATTTTTCACACTAGGAACAGGGATATTCCCTGTTGTAAAGGATATTGTAAAGGATTTACCTAGTTTTCAGCTCTACAGTTTTTGGGGTTATAACCATTATCACAAAGAATGGGGCAAGTAACATTGCAAGTTTTCCTTTTTTTAACAAGAAAAACAAAATTCCTCCAGTGCACAGGTAACACCAAAATCACTAATATTTTACCACCCGTTTTCTAGATTAAATGTGCCATAAGTTAGGTTTTATTTTCATTTTCGTGGAATACTATACATTTTGTCCCCTGAAACTGTAGCCTTCTCTTCCTTCTTGCTATTTTGGTTGAGTTATTCCTTCCCTTGTAAAGTTGCTAAGGAGGCGATGATCATGGTGTCGAGGAAGGGAGGGGCAGCGGGAGCAACTGGGAATAATTCTTCATTACTGAAAGCTGTGATTTATTTTAGCCTAATTGTAAAGTTACTGCAAATCGCTCAAAAGCTTTTTAAAGATCCCAGTGATTAGATTTTTTTTGGTTGGGGAGGGAGGTGCTGCACGGGCAGTGGGGGGGGCAGCTAAAAGGGGAAATAACACCTCTAATCCTGCTTCTGGTAAATAGGCTGCCAGCCTTTAAAATGAGTTTCCTTTCTATTAGTCAGAATATTATGCTAAGCCTTAAGCATTAGTTTTTTTATGTTGCCATAGCAGCCCTATTCCTGCAGGGTGGTGACCTGCGATGATTACAGTACAAAGCTTATAGGGTCTTGAAACCCCCTTTGAAGATGAAAAGTCTTTGATGGTTTATATTTATGCAAATCTCTTAGATATGATTTACCCAACTGAGACTGAATGGAGAGATGATTAAAATTCCCTTTTCCTTTGATATCCATTAATGGCTGAATATTCCTTAAATTTAAAATGGATATATATGTTTTTATCTTTATTTACAAAAATAGTTTTTTCGTACCTGTGTGTTTTTTTTTATCTCCCCACATCTTATTAGATCTAGATAGACATAATAGATTTACAATTTAGAGTGTGGTGGGTTTTTTTTTTCTCCTTTGAAAGGGGTGGGGGGGAGATCTGTGCAAGAGCTTTTGTATGTTTCCAGATGATAGATTTTGGAATTTGGGCTACCCCACTGGCAGCACAGAGCTAGCTGTGAACTGGTCTCATGGAAAAAATTGGCGAGCTTTGGTCTTCAAAGAATTAAACTTCCTTTTTAAGGTCTTCCTAGGTAAGCTAAAAAATTATGAAGAAAAACCTCCGAACAAAGGGTAGTGTTGCTATAATGAATAATATGGATTCCACGTAGAAGGCTTCTGAACAGTTACACCGATGTCTGTGCAGGGTCCGAAACAAAACCAGAATGGCAGGTAGAGCAAGCCTTCATTGTTTTAGGGGCCTGCCACATGCACTGAACGAAGGGAAGGCGAGAGGCCTTAAGTAAAAACCTTTTCAAGGAAAGCATTTAAACTTGAGAATCTCTCCTTCCACCTCTTAAGTCCTAGGCCTCAAATTGCGCCTTCAGAAAAAAAAACAATTTTTAATGCTTGAGGTTTTACTATTTAGTTTGCTGGGAACTTTGTTACCTTTTCTCTTTGGTCTTTCCTCTGTTTTTTCCGTTTTTTTTTTTTTTTTTTTTTTTTATTCTTTGTGTGGATGAAAGAGGCTGGGATATTACTTCCTCAGGTCAAAGACTTAAATACTACTTCTATTCTACAGTTCAATGATTGTACATTTTTTTTCCCCCACTAGTCACCTATGACACTTTTTATTCTAGTTTTCAGACAAATTTTCATTCTACTTACAAGGCCGAAAACTTGAACAACCTATGAATTTAATCCCTTTTGTGGAAACTGCAATGGGTTTGCTCAATTTTAAGGTAAGGAAACCATAATGTGGCTAGTAAGTTAGTATTTTATTTATTACCTAAAGAGAACTTTTGTTTTCAATTTTAACATCTGCTTAAAATATTTTTCTAGAAAGATTTATAAGCAAAGTAAACCTTGAGCACCATTTATTATCTGTAATAACCAAAACCAGGCTGTGAGCATCTTAGAAAACAAAGAAATAGACGCAGTAGCAAGGAAAAACTTCCTCGTCCTAAATATTTAAATGAAATATTTATATATTCCTGGCATTAATTTTAATTAAATAATCACTATATAAATTTTTGCTGTGAATTATTACATTTATCGAATAAACGTACATGAACATTTGTCACCCTTACGAATTAACTTTCAATTATTCTTTTGTAACAATTGCCTTTTATTGGGAAATTATCAGGCCTCTTTGTAGCAACATAATCTATAATGTCTAATACATAAGATTACTATTTTTGAGTTAGTATACACACTAATTTGTACTATATTATTTCAGTTGGCCACATTAGAACATAAAATATTTCCTAATATACATTCAGGAAGATTAGCTGAGCCAAGCATTGTCACCATTGTATGGCTGCATTAAACTATTTGCCTTAACGAATTCATAGCTAGCTTGTTTCTTCCTCTTTATCAGTGGCCATTTAAATTGTTTTCCAAAATATGCCTCATGTTCCACCTGACCTGTGAACATCATCACTGTAGTACCCCATGACCAAGGGCAGGAGAGAAGAAATACCTAAAAACAAAAACAGATAGTTGAACTGTACTGGAGAGATAATATGTGAGCAAAGGCTCCGAGAGGAAACTTTGAGAGACCTACTGGCCTATGCAGGAGGGGCAGAGTGCAAATGTTTGGGGAGCTGCTTCAGGCCTCGTGATCAGCATGTTTACACCACTAAGCACAAATCCTTCCAGCCTGCCCTAGAATTCTGAGAATATAGTCAACGCATATTTCTTAGATGCAACTAGATTCATACAGTGATTTCATTTTAAGCGCTGCTTTGCCATTTTATTCATAATACACTTAGAAGCACTCACAGCCCCTGAAATTAATCAACAGTGTCCTCACCGGTTCCTCATGTCCTCCCCACCCACATATGTTAGCATGCTTTCTCTCCACCTTTGCAGCATCACAGTCCTGTCTAAGATGACTGTTATTCATCTTTAATTTCACAGAGAAATGTCCAAGTTGCTTATTCATACATCTTGGATGACTTATTGCATTTTTATTTTCCCCTCTGGAGTTGTAGATTTTTGTATTGTTGGTCTTTAATCCTGAGACCATTTACTAAGAAATCTTGATCCCAATGCAAATAATCCAATTAGTTTGATTTTTAAATTCTTTCCTTTTCTCCTGTGGTTTTATGTTTATTGTTGGAGGGTCTCTTAAAGCAAAAACAAATTTTGGAAGAACAGAAATAACTTACAGTCCAATCAAAATGAGTTAACTTGAAAGTTTCTCTAAAGATTGGATGAACTAAAACTTGAACATTATAAATGTATTAATATATGCTACTAACTATATTAATATAATCCATTAAGCAAAGCAAATATATGCAACATACTTACTTTGGACAATATTAAATACCTTTTGAAAGGGGTGAATTGGGGCTGCATTTTCAGGACTGCTTTCAGCTAAACTGTGTTAAGAGGTGGACCTTTCTGTTACTAAAATATACCATGCTGCTTCTCTCTAATGGGTGCATTTCTGTGAGCTCTGGTTCTGTTCTGCTCTTTTACAGGCAGTGTGTGAAGAAGCACTAAAGAACGGGCCTCAAGTGGGTCTTTTTCTAGATGCAGTCGTTTTTGGAGGAGAAGACTTTCGCGCCAGCATAGGTGTCAAAGACATGTTTCTCTTCTCATTCTCTCTGTGCATATGTGTATATATTTTTTCTTTGCCCCTTCAAGAATGGGCATTTACATGACAATATATATTTGCCGACCATGACAATGGTTTTCCAGCTGAATGGGCAATACTTTCTGATAATTTAGGGCACCTCATAGCTGTCCTTCTTCCAGAACACTACATCATCACTTCCGTTCATTTATAAAATAACTAATAAAAAGCCTGTCGTAGCCTCAGACATGTTCAGGCATATATGACGTCTACTGTGTTCATAATAACTACATTATGTGAACAGCCTCTCTGTTGCTTAAATGTGTTGTTTTCCCATCAGCCAGATGGCTATCTAGGCTTCTAACACAAATTTAAGGCAGTTTCACATTGCTTTGATGAATCATTTTCTACATTAAATGAAGTATGTAAAAACTTTAAATAGATCTTAAATTCCCCCTAAAATATATTTCAGAACCCCTTTATTATGAAATATTTATTGAGATAGTATGCTTGTTTTCACCGATCTTCCCCATCCCTTGGGCACTATGTCTTTGGTCTGGTGCATGTATAACTAACTAGAGGCTGTGAGTGCATCTAGAAAAGAGGCCAAGGCCACAAAGTGTTTTCAGAGCACCACTCCCAGTGACCTGAATGCAAGAGCTTTCCCTGAGCAGTGATATGGTCCAAATATAAACAGTTACCCCACTCCTGGGGGAAAAAGAGGAACCAGTCTTTCCAGGAGACTTTTGTGTATCCAGCAGCTCAGTGGACACTTTCTGCCTCCCTCAAAATCAGCGTCCTTGCGTTCCCCCAAGTTCCCCTTCCACACCCTGAAGCTGCAGTATTTGGCTCAGAACCTGTTATGACATGGCATTACAACCACAGCACACGAATTCTGTGCTCAGTGACGGAAGTTAACTATTTCCACGCACAGCTGTTTGGCTACCTTTTATGGTGCTATCTTTGGACTGACACTTTCTGAGCAAAGGCAAGAAGGAAAAAATACACCAGGAGTCCTTTGTGACCTATCAAGTCATTTGTGTCTAGCTCCTGAGATAGGGAAGGGGGGCTTTTCTTAATGCACGTGCAAGTAACTACACGAAAAGATGCCTTGCAAGATAAAGAGACACATGTGGGATTTAACTCTGCCTCCACATAGCCCTCTCTTCATTTATATTTGAATCATCATTTCGCTAGGGAGAAATCCCCAGGAAAACAGAGATGTCTTTACAAACGGCGTTTTTATAATAGATATCTAGGTCCAGTTTCCAAAGTTAACGTCTCCTTTCTCGGTCAACGTTCTGTTTTCAGGTGCAACAAGTAGTAAGGAAACCCAAGATATTCTCTACGCCCGACAAAAGATTATTGTTGTAGCAAAGGCCTTTGGTCTGCAGGCCATAGACCTGGTGTACATCGACTTCCAGGATGGAGAGGGGCTTCTCAAGCAGTCGAGAGAAGGAGCTGCAATGGGATTTACTGGTATGATTCTTGATAATATCTTAGAAAGCAGTATCTAGATTAAGCAAACATTCCAGAAAAACAGAAATTTAACCAGGAACTGGTGTTTCTAATGTAGCCAGGTGTCTCATATACTTATTCCATTATTTGAAACATGAAAAAGTTATCCAGGACCAGAACCTGCCAAACAAATTATCATGTTTGTCTTTGGCTCCACAAGTCAAAAAATAAAGCACTCGTTTTAGTTTCTTCTAATATTACTTACCAGTTTTTTCTGTCCTCTTAAGTATTTTGTTGCAGTTTTTGCTGACACGAGGGGAGGGATGAGGCCATTTTAGAAGTGTTTTTGAGGGAACTGCCATAGAATTTGAGTTGATGGGGAGAAAAAAATTTCCTCAGATATTCAAAATATTAATTTATTTCTGAAAAAAATTTAGTGGTATCTTCTTTGTTTTTTTTTTTAAAGTCATAACTAGCTTTTTATTCTTCTGGCACTTCAAGCCCCTCCTTACTCTCCCATCCCCCAGTAAGTGTCTGTGCACCTGGTGACACCTATGGGCATTGACTGGCACTAAGATCAGCGGGTCCTCGAAATCCTGTCCTGGAGAACAGGCAGATATCTGTTGATTGGTGTGCCCAGTCACTCAGATACCCAGGAGCCCAGGGAGCAACCGAAAATTGTATTTTTGCAACAGAAATCTATTTTTTGAAAAACCACAATACGATTCTGTACACAAACACATGTCAGCAGTTGCGCACACACACACACACACACACACGTACACAACCATGGGTAAAAAACACCATAAGCTCTTTTATTCTTATTTGTTCTCCTGCTGCAAGTTCTAAGGATATCCTGATCAGAGATGCACCCAAAAAATAAGGAAAAGAGACAAGCATCCATGCTATTCCTTTTGTAAATATTTTTGCAATGTGTTCATTTAGAGGTTAATGAAAGAAACATTTCATAAAGTGACCTTCAGTGTAAAAGATACCTTCGTGGATGTTAATTTAACCCAAAGTAAAATTGAAAAACCATTTTAGTGTTATAGTAGAATTAAATAATGCTCTTTGTGTTTGTGTCTTTAACATAAAGAGTTAAAATGTGATTCCCCCAATTTGTTAAATAAATAAATAAATATCTATTATAGAGAAATATTTCTCAATCATCTGAACTATTAATAAATGAATCCTCCCTACATTTAGTAGTGACTGAGAAAGAAAGAGTCCCTCCACTGAATCCCTGGCGTTGTCCTTGTCTCTGTGCCTGTGACACCTGCCTCCTTCCAATGACCTGTTAGGATGTGGCCCAAATGGAAAAGTTGGAGAAAAACTCCATGAAATCTATCTAACAGACCCCGATGTTGTTGGTCTAAAATATGTGGCTTTGGCTGCCAAGCAGCCAGATGTTGCTCTGAAATGGGCACTAATACAATAAAAAATAGAAAACACTAAATTGATGGGGGCCTCTCTCACCATCACTCAGGATAACCTGGGTGTCCTCTGCTTCCTCTGGGGTAAATGTTTGCTCCAGAACTTATAAGGGAGTTTGAGAGTTTCTCCAAGAGACGGGACTGAATTAAATTGGTCCCTAATTCAATCGTAGAAGACAAGTTATTGCAAATCAGATTTAAATTTCTAGACTGTGCCCAACTCAGCATGAGGAGCTTACGGACTTGGCACTATTGTTTCTCAACAACAGGGAGTATTAAATCAGAAACAAAATGGAAGTGGGAGGGAGAGGGGAGAGGATGAGGAGGCACGGAGGGTACAGTGCCCGTTATATATTCAAGTGAACTAGTCAGTAAAGGAGGAAGCTAAACTTCAGAGCCATTTTGCAATTTTTAGAAAGGTCTTTATTGTCCCAATTATATTTCTATACACCAAGAAAAGGTAATTAGTCTGATAATAAGATAGATTATTTGTAGTATTTTTAAACAATAAATGCTTTAATGAGTATTTTAGACCACTCACGATCTGCTTGTCCTAATTATTTGTCATTTAATTGCCATACTTGGGGCTTTGCGCAAGAAGGGAGAAAAGGAAGGAAAGAAGGAAGGAAAGAAAGGGGAAGGAAGGAAGGAGGGGAAGAAAGAAGGAGAGCTACACACCCTATCTGAAGCAAGTGGTTGAAAGTTTTAAAATTCAATAAAGTATTATGTTATCCATAACACTGATAAGGATCTGTGCTAATAAGGATTTTCTCGACTTTTAAAAATTAGATATTTTTTAATGAGTTGTAGGTTTTTTGAAACTTAGCCATGTAACAAACAGCTGGTTACAGTTTCTTTTCTGTATTCATTGTTTCATGAGGCCACAATCCATGTAAATTGATTTTAAATCAATGCATTGGCTGTATAAATGACTATTAACTTTAGGAATTATTTTTATAAAAAGAAACCAAAAATAAATCTTAGAATAAAGCTTTAACAGCCTACTTAGTCATCACAGTTATTCTAGTACTACATGCTGAGAAGAAAGATTATAAATATGAAGCACTATAGGTTTTCTTCTTTTTTGCAGTCTTTTGTAGAAGACAAAAATGACACCATCATACAGTTACCTAAAAGATTTGACAGGTATTGATTTAAAGCACGATATATCAAGTGGTACTGTAAAAAGGATTTCATGGTCATAAATTTTAATGTCTTCCAATTTTGCACCCTCTCAGTAACTTGTCAATAACAGCTCTTCTGTATAAAATATTTGCTTTGCTCCCACATGGCATTAAAGTCTGATGTTCAGTTGTTGGGATATATAAGATTTGACGAAAGATAACTTCACATATGGAGGTTCATAAATTTCTAAAACCTAACACATATCTTAAAATTAGCCTCAGTACCAAAATATGGCTACTTAAAAGCCATCATTAGTTTCACAGCATTGTAAATAGTTTATGTTTGCTTCTCAATTTATAGTGTCTGTACCAAGAAGTTCCCATGAAATCTGGCTTTTTACACATTAGTGTAAATTATGTACATAAATTATAAAATTCAGGACTAACGATTAGTACAAAATGACTACCGGAACTGACATCCTTTATTAATAATATTGTAACAACTGTTAGATTGCTTAAATATAATTTCAATATCTACTATTGAAAAAAGTCTCATTTGTCATCATTGATGTTATTTGTTCCCAGAAATTATTCCTCAAATAATTTAAAGCATCTTTATTTATATAAGATTTTAATGTTTTATTAGTATGCTGACAGATAATGAAATAGCAACATGAGGATGTTTTAATTATGCTACTGTAAAGAAAAGATATTGTTATATTTATTTACTTAAACTCTTTTTCATGAAATAGTAAAAAAATTTTTTTAGAAACATTGTTCTTTTTTCTATTTGACAGAATAATGACAGTAACAGGAATGCACCTTTAATAAAACATCAAGGATATAATTTGTACTGGCTATATGTTAAAGCAGCTATTTCAAAAGCAAAGCAAATTGATATGCCAACAAATATACTTAGCAGAGTAAATTATCATTAAGTGTACATTCATTTTTAAAGAACCAAATATGTCTGTAATTTTATCATATAATAAAATATAATCTCATCATTATTATAACATTAAAGTATGTTGCATTTTATCAATGACCTGATTAGATTCCACTCTTCCCTGATTGTTAAATTGTTTTTTTAATGACTACATGATTTCATAGAATCCTGTGACTCTTATCTTTGTATAATGTTTTAATTTAAGATTCCTTTTTAAAGCTTTTTTAAAACCGTTACTACAGAAATAAGATTTCTTCTGGGGTGTCTAAGCATCTGTATAAAGGAGAAATATCCAATCTTCATTCCATAAGCAAAAAGGGAAAATCTGAGGGGGTTTTTTTTGGTTAGGGAAACTTTATGTAATTTTTTATTTAAACATTTTTAAATGGAGTAATCTAGAGATCACAGTGTTCAAATCTGCCTTCTGTTTTACTATACTGAATAAAATTTTTTTCATTGAAATCCAATTTTCTATTAGTGGTTAGAAGGGATACACTAAGTTCATCTGAAAGAAAGAAAATTGAATGTATTATTGTAAGACACTATTGATATTAATATAGTTGTAATGTCTGCTTCTGTAAGCTTTATGAAAACCAACAGACCACTTTTAAAAGAAATCATGGAAGATGGGGTAATGGTACAGAATAAGCAAAAGACAACTTGCAGAATTGGAAAGAATTAACATGTAATTTTTTTCTACTTTAACTCAAAATAATCACTTTAATTTGCAGACATTATCCTTTTAAAGTTCCAGCCAAGCAGTTATTCAACGAGCTGCCTGGTCAATCCACCTGTAACTAAAAATGAGAGATTATCTGCTCTAAGATGGCATTTCTATAGGATCGGAAACACAATTACTCCCATTGTTGTATTTGTTCTTATGGGGTATTCTGGAAAAGCCTGCCTGATTGTGTTATTTTCTTTTTAAAAAGTTCTAAAAATAATTAGTTATTTTACATACAGACTGTAAGGCATTCAGGAGACTGGCGTGGTTGAGACATTTTGTTTGAACATGTGTTTGTTGTTTTGTGTTTCCGGTGTTATTAATCTTTCTGTAGGTAAGCAGGTGATACACCCTAACCAAATTGCAGTGGTCCAGGAGCAGTTTTCTCCTTCCCCTGAAAAACTTAAGTGGGCTGAAGAACTGATTGCTGCCTTTAAAGAACATCAACAGTTAGGAAAGGTAAATGTTTTGTTAATGCCTTGAAACATTGGTGAATCTGGCGTTTAAGATACTGTGGGGAAGAATGAAAAAATAGATACTGTTTGAGTGGTTTTTAAAAACTCGTATTTTGAGGAGGAGGATATGTGTGGGCTTAGGGGGGACAACATTTATCACTGAGAAATTCACTTAAGGTAAATTTGCCCTTCCACGTTCCTAAATATTTCACTCACTGGATCTCAAGTTTCTCATTTTATTCTTTTCATAAACTATATTGGCAGCCTTTGAGAAAACAGAAGTCTGTTTAGTTTTACTCTACAGACCCGATGCAGCATTCATATGAAAATAATTTTAGATCAGAATGAGAGCAAGTTGTAATGAAATAAACACAGTTTGATCAAATGGCTCTTTTGGAGAGAAGAAATAAATTTCAAGTTATTTTAATTTGGGGAGAAAAAAGTACAAAAATCTCCGGTTTAGTCATTTAAGAGTGGGAGGTTGTATATGTGTTAGTACCAATTTCTGGACCTGAGATTTGGATAGAATAGAAAGCAAATTAACACTGGAGTATGGTTGTTCCTAATTTAGTGCATCATTGAGCCTCGCGTTTCCTGCTCTGTGGGTTTCTGCTATGTAAATATTGCAGTGGTGATGCACAATCTGTCTCCACTTTGTGCCAGTAACACTTAAATTAGGTGTCGCCTGAAGGAAGATTTTATGCTAGTTGCAGCATTGTCAGTTAATTATCTTAAAGGTTATTTGCAATAATACCGTTTGCCTCTTTTTAAGAGGATGGGGGGAAAGTTGCATTTATAAATCCATCCTGGAGGTTATATCTAAACCTGGCCTTGTTACTTACATAAGGAGTGAAGTTTTGATGCCTGTAATGCAAAAGTACTTAGGGGAGAAAGAATGTTGAAACATTATGAAGGTTCTAAATGTTAAACAGTACCCCCTACAAAAAAAAAAGAACAAAATTGGTTTTCAGTGGTGAACCGGTGACATCAGTGTGAGAAGTGTGGCTTACACTTTTCACTGGCAGTAAAAGCACCTAAAAATCCCAGGACTTTCGAAAGTAGGTAACAGTATTAAGTGGGTCACTCCCTCCCTCTCATTACCTGCCTTCAGCTCCAACCATGCTCGCATGCTCACCCTCACACACATTCAGGCTCATCTTTGCACAAACTTGCACTTAAAATCAAAAGACGGAATGTATGACACTGGAGACATCCCATTTGGACTATACCAGTTTCAGGATAAACAGCAACCTTTCGTTTCAAATCAGTAGTGACCATCAAAAAAAACATATTGCAGTGCATAAAAAGATTTTTTCAGTTGACATTATGTTTTATGTCCATTTCTATATCTTGATCCCAAAATCCAGATCCTCCATCAATAAATATAGGTATTTTTCTAGAGAGAAGAGCCATATACTTTTACATTTATACATGCAAATAACTCCATCCACTCCCCTCTCCTGCATGCTTGCCTGTGCAGACACTCACTAAATGTTCTGTACCTCCGTGTGTGCCTTATGCCAGCTAAGGATATGTACTGATAATACTTCCTACTGAAGTAAACTGAGGCAGGATGGGGACCATCAAAACGGCAGACCAAGTAGAGTTCCAGTCTGGGCTAACACTGCCTTCTTGAACTATCTACACTGGGTTTCACATTGGATAAAATCAAAGGGCGCCACTGGCATTATAAGCAGCTAGAGGTATGGAAGAAGTTACCTAAGTTTCAGTAGCCAGCAAAGAAAATTCAAACTAGAAACACACTCTTTTACCAGCATTTAAGTTCTTGAATGAGGGAAAAACAGCACTTTTCCATTATATCTTGAAAGTGCTATTCCCAGGGAAAATTGCCCTAAAGTGTCCTTGCCTTTTGATGATGGCAACTTAGATGTTAAATTCTGAACTTTTTTTTTTTTTTTTTAAATAAGAAATGCCCTCTTGTTGGGACATATGCTTTCACAACAGTGTGGTAGAATAGCTTTTCTTAACACAGAACCATAGAAATTAGAGCAGAAGGGAGACTAACTATTAGGTCATTTCTTCCCTGCCCCATTCGTGTAGGTTTGTTTCCTACAGCAAATTCTCCTGGTGCTTTGTCCAGCAAGGTTTAAATGATTCAAGTAATGGGGCTTCCAGTGGGGACATATGGTTATTTTATCCAGTCCGCATGTTTCTTTCACCTTGCCTATAAATTGGCTGGTCACAAAAATTGGGTCTGCAGGTAGGTGACTCTGGGTCTTGAGGGGTCTTGGGGTTTAAATAATGTAGGTTCTGTTTTTAAAGATTTAGTATAAATAGGTCGCTCAGTTGTATAAAATATTGCTTCCAACAAACATCTAATCTGTTTTATTTCAAATGTGACTCACTGATGAAAACATAAACCCTCGGATACTTTGTCCAGAGCACAGGTGACTCTCTCAACAATGGGAAACTGATGGTTTGTGTCCTAGTGAGATACTTATAAATTTCTAAAAGACCTTTTTTCGCCCTCTGATGAAAATTTCATTCAAGTAATGCTTTCAAGCAGAAATGACCCAAGAAGGCAAAATTATGTATCATTGTTTTTCTCTACTTCCTGCTCCCATCTTAAATTATATTCTGCCCTAAGATGAAAGGTATAGCTGAAGTTCACAGTTAGTGCTGGATCATTAGTATTTTCTATAGTGATAATAATATTATTATTCAAAAATTAAAGTTCTACCTTTTTTTTTCTTGTCCCCTCCAAATAACAAACTTCATGAGAATACTTAGATCACAAGTAGATAAATTATTGGGGTTTAGTCTTTAGTATCACGGGAATTTTTTTTGTTCTATATTAATTAAAAGTTCTAAGGAAATAAAGTTTGATGCCCTTAGTCTAATGTTGGCTAAAAAATACTTTACATTAAAAAATAATAAAAAATCACTATCTGCTCATATAATCTGTCTCTGTTTGGCAGGTAATGATACTTGTGACTGCTTTGTTTCAGGAAACTAAAGATATTTATTTTCAGGCTAAAAAATGTTGTCTGGCATGACAGTCCCCATCATAAGAATTAGGGCTATAGATTGATATTAGGGACTCATTAAAATCTGTTGGAAAAAGTTTAAACATTCCACATGCTCTATGCTCCTATTTTAATTCCCATAAGCTAAAATATTTCTACTTTAGCTGACACCAATTGTGAGGTATATATCCACACTATTAATCACACTTGATTTTTTCTTTCATCCTTCCAGAAAAATATAATTTGAGATACAACCTGTATGTCATTAACTATTTTAGTCTCAAATTATTTGGTGAAATAGTTTAGCCGGGATAAATCACTCCCATGTGATTTGTTTTAAATTTGTAAAGTATTTTCTTAAAAGTTAATTTCATTTTTGATGTCATTTTTTCGTAATAACAATGATTCCAATATTTGAAAATTCTCCATTCAGAACTGAATTTAGCATTGTTCAATTTAAAATATGATTTTAACACTTGTTTTGTTATCAACTAAGAACTGTATCTAGTATGAAATTGGATAATTGAAATCATCCCAAGCAAATAATTAGTTAATATTAGATGATATCAGTAGAAACTGTAATTTGTATATAAGTAAATACATATACATATTTATACTATATATATATATATTCATATATGTATGCTACTATTTTTTCACATCTATATTATAAACTCAGTGCTAAATTCATCACTTCTTAGGCAAAAATGACAGCTAAAGGAAATAGTCAGTTGCTTTTTTAAAATGATTGATAATCCCAGGAAATCCTACATTAAGAATTTACCATTTCTTTTCAAATGGTGGCTCAAACAGAAAAATATGAAAAAATAGCAAAAGGTATTAAGAATAGCAACATGTATTACATGAGATCGATCTTTAAAGGTACTTTGCTAAAATATTCATATTTCTGCAGTGTCTGGCTACCAATATGAAGCTTTGCTTCATTTTCAGTATTCTAAGCACTCTATTCATAGTAAATCTGTAAATGCTTTATTTGGTTTTGGAAGGATTTTGTTTAAATTTTTCAATATTTTTTGTTCATTATAGATTCGCAAGCTGGGTAAAAACCGAGGAAGGGAAAGTGTCCACCTTTAAAATCTAGGTTCCACTAGTAATTATAAGGTCAAAAGTAAGGTCACTAGCTGACATAACAACTATAAACAACACACATAACTGATACATCCTAACTTCACTCGAGAGAGCAATAATGCAGATTAACATGTTTACATTAATAAGCAAATCCTCTATAGGAATATAAATTGGGAACTTATATCTTAATAAAGAAAGAAAAAAGAAAAAGGTTTTCTCCCTCATGTAAGTCTTTTCGTCTAGAAAATTACAAAGAATAATTCCCCCTCCCCAATATTGAAAGCAAATTATTTTCATAGGTATCTGATTACGGCTCAGACACCTTTCGTTTGTGTTTCCAAATGCAGGGCTTTACAAAAGAAATACTGTTTGGTCCAGATGGCCTTCTAGAAGGCTCCCTGAGAGAACTCAGAAGTCTCTCTAGCCAAAAATATTGTTTCCGCTTATTCAAGTGCCAGAAATCCCACTGCCACTCTTTCACGCAGATCAAATAAACCATCCAAAGATTTGGTTGTTGTCTTTGTCAAAGGAAGGGGTTGATTCCACTAATAGACAACAGTGTGCCCTCCCACACTCATGCATCCCACTGCCCACAGCCTTGCCCCCTTTATTTGTAAGCAGAAATGCTAAAATCAGAACTGAGTGATTGCCAGTGAAAATGAAAGAGGAAGGGACATCACTCTATTTTTAAGATGCTTAGTTATTGCATTTCTCCATTTATTTCCTTGTTCATTGAAAATCTTCAGAACTATATCGCATAATTTTGACTTTAAAAAGTCAAGTTCTTAGAAAATTTGAGAGTCTGCCAATGGTGACTTTAAGGTTGATTTGATTAACAACAAATTGCAGATTTCTAAACGTTTAAAGCAAGGCAGTACAGTTTTACTGCTGATCATATCCTATTTCACATAGGCTTAGTGGCAAGTGG